ACCCTGTTATTGACTACTGCGGCGAACCGGGGGGGGGGGGGGGGGAGCTGGCCAAGAGCTGGCCCGCTGTACTGTCGGTAGAGGTCGCAAAGGTCTGAAGGGATTCCCTTGTTTTGTACTTGCCTTGTTGTTTATCGACGCATTCCCGATTCGGTCTGCGTGGCACCCACACCCAAGCGAGTGTGAAACAAAGGGCGGCGGGCACTTTGGGCGGTAGCGACCATGTGTGTGGGTCCTGTGTCTGGGAAGGAGGGAGTGGGGTGCAGGTTTGCTCACCCACGGCACCGGGCCGGTGCTTGCACTTTGAATGCCGTGGGGCTCCTGCCCCTGTCCGGGCGTGGAGATGCGAGGGTCGCCCCCCCTTGCCCCACCACTTTGTGTGTGTGGAGACGTTTACGTTACCTTACCTTACCGACGGGGATGGTGACGGTGACGGTGGCGAGGGAGAGGAAGGGGGTCCATTAACACCAGACAGCGAGAGGGGCAGGGAGGAAAGGGGGAGAGAGGAAGCCAACGCGACGTGCGCAGAGGATGAGGATATAAACTGGGACGACGCAGCGGAGGGGATAGGCGAGGGAATCGAGGGACCGGAGGGCTTTCGCGACAGCGACGATGACGACGAAGAAAGGGGAGGGGACGGAGGGGCGACACGCAGGAGGGGCGAAATCGCTAACGGCCCGAGCAGAGAGGGCGACGGCAGGGCACGAGGGAACAACGGAGACGCTACCGATGACGCGAACCGAGGCACGGACGCCGGCGGGGACGGGGAGGGCGACAGCGACGTCGAGGTTGACGCAACCGTATCGAGAGCGCCACCCAAAAAGGGGCGGACAGCCATGGAGGTCACCGAATGGAGGGCGAACGGCACGATACGAAAAGGCAGGGCGAGGCGGATGGAGAAAGAAGTGCCGAGAAGGCCATGGTGGAGGGGAGGGACGGGAGGACGAAAGAAGGGCGAGGAGGACGAGCGGCCCTCACAGACCGCGAGCAGACAGCGCCTGCTGGCCATTTCGAGACATTCGCCAAGAACGCTAGCTACATGGGAGGGCTTCGTGAAGGATGGATTGAAAAACATTCGAACAAAGAAGAGGCGACGGGAGGAACCGGCGGAGGATGCAGTGACGTGACACACACAGCCGGTGGCGTTGCTGCTCGAGAGGTGCAAGCGCAAGCCCTCCGCCTCCGTGGCCACTGGTGGAGGCTGGTACTCGCCGACCGCCCGCGCGTACGCCACCGCCGCCTCCACCGCTGTGTCGAAGGTTCCGAGGCAGTCATGCCTTCTGCCCACCCTGTGCTGCAGCTTGAAGCGGCCAGAGGACTCCTTGACCACATTCTTGTACCCGGTGCTGTTGCTGGAGAGGTGCAAGCGCAAGCCCTCCACCTCGGCTGCCGGCGCCTCCGCCTCCATCTCCTCCTCCACCTCGCCGACCGCCCGTGCCTCGCCGCTCCCGGCCTCGCTCTCCGCCCTCGCCGCCACATCGTCCTCGTCGTCCATCTCCTCCTCGAGGACCTGCACGTGCCGCGGCGCCACGCCCTCCGCCGACGAAGGTTGAGCCAGAGGCTGGTACTCACCGACCGACCGCGCATGGGCCACCGCCGCCTCTACCGCCGTGTCGAAGGTTCCAAGGTGGACGTGCCTGCCGTCCACCATGTGCTTCGCCTCGAAGCGGCCAGAGGCGAGCTCGTACACGCCCTTGTAGCCGGTAATGTTGCTGCTCGAGAGGTGCAAGCGCAAGCCCTCCGCCTCTGTCGCCACTGTCGGAGGCTGGTACTCGCCGGCGGCCCGCGCGTACGCCACCGCCGCCTCCACCGCCGTGTCAAAGGTGCCGAGACAGACATCCCGTCCGTCCACCGTTTGCCTCGCACAGAAGCGGCCAGAGAGACTCTTGAGCACGCCCTTGTAGCCGGTGCTGTTGCTGGACAGGTGCAAGCGCAAGCCCTCAGCCTCCGCGGCTACTGTCGGAGGCTGGTACTCGCCGACCGACCGCGCATACGCCACCGCCGCCTCCAGCGCCGTATCGAAGAGGCCGAGGTGGACCTGCTTGCCGTCCAGCCTGTGCTGCGCCTGGAAGCGGCCAGAGGAGGGGTGCTCGCACACGCCCATGTAGCCGGTGCTGCTGTTGCTGGAGAGGTGCAAGCGCAAGCCCTGCTTTTCTGCCACCGGAGGTGCCAGTGCGGGCTCCTCTGCCTTTGCTCTTTCTGCGACTGCCCCGGTGTCCACCTCAGCTGCCTGCGTGGCTGTCGCCGTCTGTGGTAAAGGCGGCCCTCCCGGCGTGACAGTGTTTGGCGGGTCGATCGCCTGTGTGGCGGCGATGCCGGCAGAAGGGGAAGGCGCCTCGAGCTGCTCGAGTCGGAGAGCGCACTTGTGCCGCCTCTCATTCCAGACCAGCACGAGGCCGGTCCGGGTGGAGCCGCGATCTGCCGACATATCTTGCGCGATGATGCAGCCGTTGCAGCCGCCCGTGCGAGTGCACGGCATGCGGATGCGGAGCGTGTAGGCTGCTTGCTGCGCGACTAGATGCTTGACACGCACCTTTCGCAGGTGAGGCGCGGCAGGATCCTCCCTGTCTTGGGCTCGCGAGAGGCGGCCGCTCCGAACGAGGTCTTGCCAGGAGAGGATCTCCTTTGCTGGAGGTGCCATTGGACGCAAAAGCGAGGCGATGGGCGGCCCGCTGCCGCCCGCTGCGGCCTGGCCGCACGCTCGGGGGGCGCAGGGGATGACGCGGAATGAATCGGATCCCAAAGTCGTCGAAAAGGGACGTCGTAAAACATAACTTTCACGACCAAAGGCGGTCGCACACGCACGATTCGCCCGAACAAGGCGCAGACGAAGGCATTCTGAAGCCGTCGTCCTCGCAGGCTAATAGCCGCCGTCCGAATTCCCCTCCTCCGACACAGAAAGAATTTTACAACAAAGCTCCCTCGCACAACACTGGGCACGGGACTGGCTCGCACAGAAAGAACTTCACAACAATCAAAACTCAATGTCAACATGTCAGACAAAGATACATGCACATTCCACTGAGGTTGAGGGAAAAAGAAACTTTTGAGAGCAGAACGCCGGGTTTGTCTTGTATGTGCGTGTCGGGGGTGTGTCAGAGGTGTCGGTGGGAGGCAGCGAAGGGCGGGGGCGCGCAAGGCCGGAGGCTCAAAAAAAGAAAAGGAGACCGCGCGAAGGTGGCGAGGCGCCAGGCTTCGTGCACTCGACCGCTCGCAGATCTCTCTATCTTCTCAGAAGGCCGCGCGCTCATGAAAAAGAAACAAAACCGTGTTCATGCTTCCTGCTTGTGGAGGGCCTCAGAGTCCAGAAGGCTGCACGTTCTCTCTGGCTAAAGGCTCTGTTCACCGCGGGGAGGGCAGTGGTTGTCCTGGCGGAGTCCTGACAGAGTCCTGACAGAGTCCTGACGGAGTCCTGACAGAGTCCTGTCAGAGTCCTGACGGCCTATTTTGGTGATTTTGAACTTTAGGCTATTGTAACTTTGTGAGAGCGGAAATGAATGCATCAGTTCTTTGGGACAGTGCAATCCGTTTAATCATTTACCTCCAACTCAAAAAAGGTCTGGTGGCAAACGGACAACGGGGTCCCTTATGGTGGCCTCTAAGGGTAAGCTGCGGGAGCTCCACAAACCAGGTTTACGGATTGTGGGAATTGAGTTTAGGGTCGCCCCCCGCCCGGGGCGGCCCCCGCCCCATACTCTCTGCCAGATACCACAAACTTGTCACTTCGTGTGCGTGGTGCGTGGTGCGTGGAGAAAGATTTTTTTAGGGTAATCCGTTAGACCTCCTTTATGGCTTTGCCCCCCCCGCGGACAACACCATCCCGACGGACACTCCCGACGAGGGGAGCGACACGGAAGGACCCGCCCCCGCCCCTCGGGGCGGGGGCCCCCGCCCCCCCGGGGGGCCCTTTGGGGCCCCTCCAGGGGGCGACCCCTCCGGGGAGGCCGGCCCTCCCCGTGCCGGTTCTCCCCAACCAACCCCGCCGGCAGCGTCCTGCCAATCATGCACGCCGCCGCACTCACCTTCGCTGGAAAAGAAACCTGAGGCGAGCCACTCCGTCTCCCACTCCGCAACAGGCCCCTCCCCTGGCGACGGCTGCCAGCCCGGGATTCGGAGGCGGATCGCCTTCTCCTCGTCGAGAGCTCGGCGGCGGGTGTGGGCGTAAGTCCGGATTAGGGCTCGGCGCGCCTCGTAAAGGGATGCCGCAGGTCGCACCTCATATTCACTGTTTGCAACCTCGCCGTGTAGATATTTGAATATCTTGGTGACACGTGTGTTACAGACAGGGGCTGGGACCCACCCATGAGAGCGCCGGCCATTGTACTTGTTGATCATTCTCAACCCATTTTGCCTCATGGAGCCAGTCGAACCCCGGTCCCAACGAGATTCGTACCCCGACGCCGACCGCCCATCCTCCTCTCCTCGTCCCCCCCCTCGAATTCTTCGGCCCCGACAAGCCAGATGCCAGCACACCCCACAGGCAGAGCGCTCCTGCTGGGGGGGGGGGGGGGGGTGCGGCCATGAGCTTAGTTGTGCAGGGGGGGTAGCGAGCAGAGTGCGGCCGCTCTAGGCAGCGCTGGCGAACCCCATCGATATTTTTTGTATTCCGCAAAATCACAAACAAACAAACAAACGTCCGTCCACTCATCTCAGCGCCGTCGTCCCGCGACCGTGAGAGAGGCAAGTGAGCAGGCATGTCATTCTTGGAAGGCCTCGTCGACAAGGCAAAGGAGCTCGTCGACTCGGCAACGGGAGGCGCGACGGGAGGTGGCGAGGAGGGCGAGGGCGGCAGCTCAAACAGCAGCCTGTTCGCGTCGCTCAGTGGAATGGCGGGCAAGTCCAGCGACGAGATCAAGGCCAAAGCTGAGGAGATGATGGGGAAGGCGTGCGGCTAGACCCCCTACAGCAGCAGCAGCAGCAGCAAGCAGCAGCAGCAGCCGCAGCAGCAGCAGCAGCATCGGCAGCGGCGGCAGCGGCGGTGGCAGCGGCAGTGGCGGCTGACGGGGCGAGCCGCTCACAATAGAACGGCGCGGCGCACCAGCTCTCCCCTCTCCACGGCCACCACAGGTTCACGAGGCGACCGACGGGCAGAAGCTCGACCTCGCAGGACTGATGGACAAGGAGACGCTGGAGAAACACGCGGGGGGCTTTCTGGACAACCTCAAGGGCATGGACGGCAGCTCGATCACCGGCCTGTTCGATAAGCTCAAGGAAAAGGGCACGGATCTCAAGGACCACATGCCTGCGCTGGAGGGACTGGTGAAGAGCGGCGACTCGGAGGAGGCGAAGAAGGGTGCCCTCGACGCGCTGGAGGGGCTGGTCAACTCAGGGTCCGACAAGGCGGGCGAGCTCACCGGCACCTTGGCGGAGCTTGTCGGCAAGGACAAGGACAGCGACCTAGGGAAGAAGGCGAGCGACATGATGGCAAAGCTGCAGGAGGGCGGGAAGCTGAAGGTTTGCCCCCCCACCCCCCCCCCCCCCCCTCCCCCGCCGGTACAGAGGCATGACCTCCGCCTCTGTACTTGCACCTCCCTGCCACTCCCCAAAAGGTGGACGACATACCGGATAGCGCCAAGGAGACGCTGGGGAAGCTTGGCGGCGTCTTTGGCGGCCTCTTCGGCGCCGCCGCCGACGACGCCGGCACCGACGAGCACGAGGCCAAGAAGCGGAAGACGGAGGCGTGAGGCTGGCCTGGGCGGGCTCACGAGAGGGGTATGGACATGGCTTGGCCCCCTCACGTCAGTATATGTTGCGGATATCCGGCTCACGCCAGCTGTGCCTGAGCGCTCCCTCGGGGAAGAGCTGCAGACTGTGCGCGGTTGCGTCGGCGGTGCTAGCTTCGTTGCACCGATTGATCCGAGAGCAGAGAGTGTTGCAAGAGATGCGCGAGGAGTCATTGCAGTCAATAACTCGGTGGGTGAGCGAGATACTTGAAGATAACTACAAGTGCTTCGTTTTGTTCTATGGCCACCAACACTGCTCACTGGCGAGAGGAACCGCCACAGCGAGCGCGATTGTGTGTGTGCGGGAGTTGGTTTGTCGGGGGAGGGAGGGACAGGCTGCTCACCCACGTGCACCGGGTGGAGATGCGAGGGTCGCCCCGCCTTGCCCCACCACCTTGTGTTGTGGAGAAAGTTACAATGTAGATGTTGATGCACTTAGACCTTGCGGCTTTACTCTACAAGTTACATGACCTTACACACACACCGTGGCGCCGCAAGTACTGTGTAGAGCCATACAACCGCCGCGCTCGAGGCCCGAGGCCAATCAGCAGCGACAGTCTCTCTCTCCCGAGAGACCTCGCGCCCGCTGCGCGCCGCCGTGCTAAACCGGTTGCTAGCGGCCGTGCCGCACGAGGGCCCGCTCGAGCCGCCGGAGCGGCTCGAAGCCAGAGTGCGACTCGGCGTCGGGGAAGTGCATCAGGAAGTAGGAGAGCTGCTTGAACCACGGCGTGAGCTCGGCGGGGAAGGGGCGCCCCTCGCCGCCCGCGAGCAGAGGCAGCCGGCGGTGCATCCGCTGGTCGGCGGCGCGGAAGGCGTCGAAGAGCTCGTGCCGGAAGAGCATCTTGTAGCAGAGGATCGCGAGCGGCGAGACAAAGTGCGCCGTCTGCGCCGCCAGGCCGTAGTAGATGAGCTCATCCGTGATGTGCCGAAAGTCGAACCAGAGGCGCGAGAAGCCGTCGCCGCCGGCGCCCGCCTGCACCGCCGCAATCAGCGACACGTACAGAGGGCAGTCCCCGCTCCCAGCGGCGGCGGCGCCCTCCTCCGCGGCCTCGCCGCCGCCGCCGCTACCGCCGCCGCCGCCGCTTCCGCCGCCGCCGCCGCCGCCGCCGCCGCCGCTTCCGCCGCCGCCCGCGGCGTCCGCGGAGGCGGCGGCGGCGACGGCGGCCTCGTGCCTCGCCAGCCGGTTCGGCGCCGCCTCGCCGCGTGCGCGGAAGTGGGCGCTGAAGGTTGCGGCGAGCGGCGCGTCCCAGTACGCCTTGAAGGCGGCGTGGAAGGCGAGGATCTGCTCCTCGAGCAGCGCCGCCTGCGGGGAAGGAGCGGCGGGCGGTCCCCCGCGGAGACCCGGGCGGGAGGGGAGGGGGCCGCCTCCTCGGGGCTGCAGCAGGGCCGAGCACCGCGCTCCCGCCGTGCCGCCACGATGCCCCCCTCCCCCCCCGGGAGTGCCCCCCTCGCGGCACCCGCCCCTCCCCTGGCC